TTCGTTCACCCGCCTCTTGGCATGTCTCATTTCCCCACGGATGACGAGCTTGCCGACATGGACCGACCCAGCTCGCCTGGCATGATGTCTAGCATTGCTGGTACGATCCGGAACCGTGCCCGATCCGTATTAACCCCAAACCGACCCGACTTCTCCCTCGACCCCAAGCAACACCCCCCGATGCCCCCTGTTCCTCTGACGGACATTGCAGTGTCTGGCTACCCGATAAACGACGGAAGCTCTTATCGCACAGGACCTCATGACTCCGATTATGGCGTCTCAAACACAGAATATGCGGGCGCTAAGGGTGTATATCATGCCCGGCATGGATCCCATGTCAGTGGTGTTAGCGGCGGCAGCTCCTTCCTCGCACCTACGCCACCACCGCATACAGCCAAGAGACAATTTTCCTTCCAGAACATCTTCAAACGAGGCCAGACATCTTCTTCTGCCGTCGAGGCTGATGACGAGCTCCCTCATCCCCCACGGTCAGCTGGTCACTTGACGCGCTTCGGTCTGGGATCGCGAGGCAATTCCACTCCTCAGGTTAAGAACGCAACTGAAGAGGAGCAAGCTGGCCTTGTGAAAGGCGACTCACGGTCAATGCCAGCGTTGCCTCGATATGATGACGATGATGATGATGACGACGACGATGACGAAAACGACGAGTACTACCCGGGAGATGATAAGAGACATGCGCTGGGACACTCCGGCGATGTATCTTCCCCCCAGGCATCTAGGTACGGTCGAGGCATCACAGGATCGCCACCGAGTAGGGCACGAGAGGATCAAGAGGCACAAGAGGCAGAATATGAAGCACAGCGTTCCCGGTACAACACGTCACGTGGTGGCAGCGAGAGGAGCCCATCACCACCGCCACCGCCACCACACAGAACTCCACCGCATAGAAAAGGGGGCAACAGGGACGCCTTTATGTGATGAAGTGCCACGCACAGCGCACAGCGGGCTATACCATCATCACGGGCGCTAATGTGGATGAAATGAGCTTCTCCGTCCTTTGGATGCATGTAAGAAAGAGCATGACACTAGGCCGCCTAATTGTATAAACGGGATCTGTCTCGTCTCGAAAGAGATCGACTTGTAAATAGGAGGCGAGCTAGATACACGAGCCATGATGCCCAAGACACTATAGTAGTGTAGTTGATACATGATTAATGAACATGTGTTTTGAGTTCTCTTCCACGCGCTGAGAATGTTACAGTTGAAAAGATCCCAAAGATTCGTCGAAACTCTAAACGACTATTCAGTCCTTCGAGCATGTCCATGGCCTGTAAGGTAGTATAAGGCTAGATGAATATGAGGAGCCGACAATAAATCCTCCAAAGGCCGTTGGAGTCGTATAGCCGGTATACCCTGCAACAACAATACTTGAATCGCCTAATGGGCAGTACTTGAAGCTACAGTGGCTTCTGGACTCTGCTTCTCGTGGTTGTCGGGCGAATCCAACGACCCCGAATGGCTGGATGAAGGTGGCTGAGGGACCGCCTTTGCCTTCGTCAATGGCCACCTGCCCTTAACCTCCTTGAAACGGAGAAGGATCAACCAGGTCATGACAAAGATCCAGTATACATTGTATGAGATAACGGAGCCATAGGTAGCCGAGTTGTTCCATCCGAAGATGGCATTCAGAACACCCCAGCCGCCTCCGCCGTTCAGCTCGGGGTTGCAGCACTATCCCTAAGGTCAGCCCTACGATCATTCATCAGGAAAAAAGAGAGAGGTTTTACGGACGTTGAGGTGCCAGACGCTCTTATCGATATCATATGAGCCAGGGCCGCTGCCGACTTCGGCCGCATCGCCTCCTACGGCGTCATTCCACTTTTGCGCCTCGAAAAACCACACGGCGCGAGAGAAGAGGCCTGCTGCAACAAGGTACAACAGGCAGGTCGAAACAACAAGGAAGACCTGGATTCTGGTGGAGGCGCCACTCCTTTGAACATTATTAGACATGATACGAACAATTTGCAGGTAGTAAGACTTACTTGTACAGCAGGAAACCGACGGCGATACCGGCGATCAAACCAACAATGACCGGAAGGGGAACGGCAGATGCAGGGGCGGAGAAGGTGACGCCAGCCACAAACACGATGGCTTCGATGCCCTCGCGGAGAATGGTAATGAAGGGAAGGACAAACATGATGTACTTTTCGGCAAATCGCTTGAACCGTCCCTTCTTGCCGCCCTTGTTGATCGGGGCCTCGAGAGCCTTGGCGAGTTTGATGCGCCACTTTTGCTGCATCTTTCCGACACGCAAGAGGGCTACTCCCATGAGAGTGATGATAATAGAGGCAAACAGGGCAAACGATCCCTCATAATAGTACTCGTTAGCTTCCCAGCTCACGCGGCCGACACCGTAGAAGACGCCAATGATGATGCCTGCTACAACTAGACAGAGCAAGAGGCCTGTGCCTACGCCGAGCCAGACCTATTGGACACAGTCAGTAACCCAGGAGCAGATTATATGATCACAATATGAACTTACTTGTCTTCGAAGGATCTTGTAGACACGCTGGTCGCCTTCGGGGCCGCCCAGGGTTTGTTTCAAGAAGGCCATCAACACCGAAACGATGATGACCGTCTCGAGTGCCTCGCGGAAGACCACGAGAAATATGGGGACTGAGAATACATTGACTGTCATGATGTCTACCGAGCAGCAGATTCCATAAGCTGTGATGGTGTTTCTTCTCAGGATGAATTCCCAGGTCGGGCAACTTGGGCAAGAAGGAGGGGGGCAAGAGGTCAACTTCGAGGAGAGGGGGACGACCTAGGTCTACTCTTCCCATCTCTTTCGTCTTGCAAGTCGGGACAGCTGCATAGCTAAGGTATGGATAGATTGAAGGGTCCAATGACACGGTTTGAGCTAAGATCAACTTGTCCCGCGATCACGGCTACCGGCACATGGTGCCCCTCTTAGGACTCGTGTTGGGTGGTACCACTTGCGTGACGCTAATGCAACGGTAGTCCGACTGAAAAGCTTGTCTTCGCCCACTGATGGCCCAACCGAGCGGCTGAAGGTTCATACCCCGGCCAATCACTGGAGTCACTTAACGAGTCGCGCCCAACCTTCGTGCCAGTCGAGGGATAGGACGACATGTTGGCAGATGAAGCTCTACGGTAAGGGAACATGCCGTGTGCCGAGCTACCACTAGCCGACTGCGAGGGGTCCAAGCCAGCACCGCATCTTGACTCGCCTTGATCTTCATGGCCAATAGCTGAGGGACTCAACGTGATGGAGGCGTACAAGGGTTGGTCTGGGCCTGGCTTATACCTGATTATCAGATTGATAACGCAGCCGTCTGTTCCGTTTCCGATTACCTCGTGCCGATGAAGGTTGGAATGATCGTATCATGTAGATCTCGGCTCCGAGGGTACGACCTCTGCTCACTTCGCACTTTCCTTGATGTTTTTGCTGCTCTTCTCTCTTGCCGTCATTGTTCCTCTCTATCCAGGGCCAAGGGAGCACACCCAGTCTTTAGGAACAGCCGCCTGAAACCTCTGCTCGCAATGAGATTCAGTCGCCTTGTTCTAGCGTTTGGACTCTTGTGTCCGGCCCTCGCGGCGACCGTCACCTACAATTTCACCATTGAGTGGGTGACAGCCAATCCAGATGGAGCGTTCAACAGGCCGACGATAGGCATCAACGGCCAGTGGCCCATTCCTCGCATCGATGCCAACGTAGGTGATAGGGTCATTGTTCATGCACACAATGAGCTCGGCAACCAGTCGACCTCGCTTCATTTTCATGGCCTCTTCATGAACAATGCAACACATATGGACGGACCGTCCATGGTCACGCAATGCGCCATTCTTCCAGGTTCATCCATGACGTATAACTTTACAGTCAGTTGAGTTCTCGCCGCACAGAAATATCAATACTAACAGGAATAGATCGACCAACCTGGCACATACTGGTATCACTCACATACCCAGAGCCAGTACCCAGATGGTCTGAGAGGCCCTCTGGTCATTCACGACCCAGACTCACCCTTCAAAGACGAGTACAGCGAGGAGATCGTGTTGACTCTCTCGGATTGGTACCATGAGCAGATGCAAGTTCTCATTCCTCAATTCTTGACAAAGTCAAATCCAACGGGCGCCGAACCGGTCCCACAAGCAGCTTTGATGAACGAAACACAGAACCTGGCCCTGTCCGTCGAGCCCGGCAAGACGTACTTGATCAGGGTCATCAACATGGCGGCTTTTGCCGCCCAGTATTTCTGGTTCGAAGGACACAACATCTCCATTGTCGAGGTTGATGGTATCTACACCAAGCCCGCAGAAGCCAGCATGATTTACTTGGCTGCGGCGCAAAGATGCAGCTTCTTGTTGACGACTCGAAACGACACAAGCCAGAACTTTCCAATTGTGGGAAGTATGGACACCGTAGGTCTCTTCGCCTGAATGATCTGACAAGTCTGCTGACAGCCATACTCAGGACCTTTTCGACCAACTGCCTGATGACCTCAACTGGAATGTAACCGGCTGGCTGGTGTACGACGACGCGAAAGATAAGCCGGCACCTGCGATCGTTGACACTTTCGAGCCGTTCGATGACATGACACTGGTTCCTCAAGATGAGCTGGAAAGGTACGGGGAGCCTGGCCATACCGTCGAGCTCGATGTGGTCATGGGCAACCTGGGCGATGGCGCCAATTATGCCTTCTTCAACAACATAACATACGCGCATCCCAAGGTCCCGACTCTGTACACTGCGCTCACATCCGGAGATTTTGCGACGAACCCCCAGGTGTACGGTGAATACACTCACAGCTTCGTCCTGGAGAAGGATGAAATTGTTCAGATTGTCCTGAACAACCTTGACCCCGGACGACACCCCTTCCACCTTCACGGCCACGCCTTCCAGGCGCTTCACCGATCTGTCGAAGAAGCTGGCACATTTGAGGATGCTCATCTGACTGAGGATGATTTCCCCAAGGTTCCCATGCGACGCGATACCCTGGTCGTGTGGCCAAACGGGAACATCGTCTTGAGGTTCAAGGCAGACAACCCTGGTATGTTTCTTATCTGGTGAGGCTCATGTGGAATCACAATACTGACAGTGACCAGGCATCTGGTTATTCCATTGCCACATTGAGTGGCATGTCACGTCAGGTCTCATGGCGACCTTTGTTGAAGCCCCTCTAGAGCTCCAAAAGACAATCGCCATCCCGCAAGACCATTTCGATGTCTGCACAGCAGGTGATGTGCCTGTCGCGGGGAATGCCGCAGCAAATACGCAGAACTTGTTGGACCTTAAGGGCCAAAATACCCCACCACGACCTCTACCAGGAGGGTGAGTGCTCTTCAAGAGAAATTTATGGTGAAAATGAGGCGCAGCTAACATCTTTCAGCTTTACTACTCGGGGCATAGTCGCTTTCGTCTTCAGCTGCATCGCTGGCGTCCTGGGCGTTTGCGTTGTTGCATGGTATGGCTTGGCTGGTCCCACGGGCGGAGAGCCCGGCTTCCAAGAAGACAATGACTTGGTGACTAGCGAAGATTCGAGAGCCCTGCCCGATGCGCTGGCGAGAGCGAATGGTACCGAGACTGAAACTCATGGCATCAAATCAGCTTGATAGGCCACTAAGTGTGCATATGTTACGGCATTGGCGAAGAGAATATGTCTGTAGGAGTATCTGAGAGACATCGAGACGGAGAAAGAGGCGAAATGTACGGAGTCAACTCTGCATGGGCTCCCAAGTCACGGAAGGGCTTGCTTGGGAATGTGGTGTATCCGCGAAATATTTCTGAGCCTGAAGTGAAATGAACACCCCGCTTTCAAATCCTTGTGAGGTGAAACCCACTGACCGTAGACAGATGCTCACGAGCTATTGACCTGGGACGTTCAAAGCACCTCATATTTGCAGCGCCACAACTCAACATGCATCA